TGACACGACTGCATTCGGGACATTCCCTCGTGCGCTCCTTCCCCTTTCTTCAGTCCCCAGTGAAGAGTTGGCATGTTAATAGTACCGTAAGTACCAGTTTGCAACCTATCTAGATGTCCACCTCTTTTTCCCCTTCAGTGTTAAATATATTGCAGAACCTCTACACCCTTCCCTTTTCTATTTGATCTGTATGACATTTGTTTTTGGCAGGAAGCAGCTGCACAACTTCATGAAGACCTCAAAGAGACCTCCAATGTCCAACTGAAGGACAAGCTCAGTATCGAGCTGGACCCAAACATGAGACATGGTTACGTGCGATATGGTGGTGATATTTACTACGCCAAAGTGAGTCTCATTCTGACTTGTCAGATGTCATTATTTTAATTCTTATGGGGTATTTTGTTTTAAATATATAAATAAAAAAATTATTTAGTTCATAAGCCATATGTTTCCATGTAGCTGTCCAAGGGAAGAAATTGGTTCCTTGTTTCTTTCTAAGACTCTTTTCTACACTAGACTTGCTTGTATATTTATGTGCTGAGAATATTTCAAAGAAAACATTTCTTGATTGTTAATTGGATCAATTTTTCTACAGCTTGTAGATCTTCCGTCTGTGATTGAGTCGCTGAAAACGGTCGACAAGAAAACCTTTTACAAAACTGCAGACATTTCTCAGGTGAGAGTTGTTATCTGTTTTATATTTTATTTAACTTTTCTGGCTAACTATTGCTTACATAGTTTTCTCTCTCTATTTTGATTTGGTTGTCTCTTATATATTTATATTCTCGAACCTTTATTTTGTTTATCTTCATTTCTAATATTTACAAATCTAATCTTCTGTATTGTCAGTATAAACCAGTTGTGTTCCTGTATGTATCATAGTTACTTGAATCAGCGCATCAGTGAATGTAAATTTATTTCTTGCAGATGTTGTATTGTAAATCAGAGGAGGACTGGATCAAAGATGAGAATGATAGTCCCCGCAAGAAGGATAAGGACAAGAAATATGCCTGGAACCATGGAAGTAAGGCTCGTTCGCATTGTTATTATCGCATTATTATTGTCACATCAGTGTTGTTACATCATTATTGTCACATCATTATGGGTATTTGGTTGTAAATGTGGTTGAGGTTATCTTAAATTTAGACTGTCCTCCGAATTACGGTCCCATATTTGTGAGGCTTAGAAAATACCCAAACAGGGCCTTAGTCATATGTAAATTGGGGACTTCTTTCCGTCGGATATACCGCATTCCATGGGAAACACTCCTCCGAATAATGGTCCCAAATAATTGAGGGTGTCAACAGCTCCAACACTAAGTGCTAGGTTTAACTTCTCCCCTGGGTCCTAGGTTTAATTTCTCCCCTGGGTCCTAGGTTTAATTTCTCCCCTGGGTCCTAGATTAAGGGTTAGGGAAAGGAGTATCGCAATTACGACACCACCACCAGAATCTGTCACAACAGTGGAACCACGACGCTATCGATTGAAGGGTTATGGATTGAGCTTACGCGGACGCGATATTACTACAGCGGCATAGTCGCAAACATTACAGCTATGTTAGGGTATTTTCTTAGCTTTGATAATTTGGTAACGTTATTAAGAGAATAGCCGAAATTTATGGGGAACCTTTCTTGCTTATGGCATTGAATGTTGAAATGAGAATGAACAGATAACAGGGCTTGGGGACAGTAGATAGTTTGGTTTGTGATTTGTCAATGCCTTGTGCAGCTCCAGTAAAATAGCTTCTGTAGTAAACATCTGTGGGAGGGAGGGGAACACACCTTCTTATGTAAGAAGAAAATGTATACCTGTAAGGAAGAGACAAGGAGTCCTTACCTGTAAGGAAGATACAAGGTGTCCTCACCTGTAAGGAAGAGACAAGGTGTCCTCACCTGTAAGGAAGAGACAAGGTGTCCTCACCTGTAAGGAAGAGACAAGGTGTCCTCACCTGTAAGGAAGAGACAAGGAGTCCTCACCTGTAAGGAAGAGACAAGGTGTCCTCACCTGTAAGGAAGAGACAAGGTGTCCTCACCTGTAAGGAAGAGACAAGGTGTCCTCACCTGTAAGGAAGAGACAAGGTGTCCTCACCTGTAAGGAAGAGACAAGGTGTCCTCACCTGTAAGGAAGAGACAAGGTGTCCTCACCTGTAAGGAAGAGACAAGGTGTCCTCACCTGTAAGGAAGAGACAAGGTGTCCTCACCTGTAAGGAAGAGACAAGGTGTCCCTCACCTGTAAGGAAGAGACAAGGTGTCCTCACCTGTAAGGAAGAGACAAGGTGTCCTCACCTGTAAGGAAGAGACAAGGTGTCCTCACCTGTAAGGAAGAGACAAGGTGTACTCACCTGTAAGAAAGATACAAGGTGTCCTCACCTGTAAGAAAGATACAAGGTGTCCTCACCTGTAAGAAAGATACAAGGTGTCCTCACCTGTAAGGAAGATACAAGGTGTCCTCACCTGTAAGGAAGAGACAAGGTGTCCTCACCTGTAAGGAAGAGACAAGGTGTCCTCACCTGTAAGGAAGAGACAAGGTGTCCTCATCTGTAAGGAAGAGACAAGGTGTCCTCATCTGTAAGGAAGAGACAAGGTGTCCTCACCTGTAAGGAAGAGACAAGGTGTCCTCATCTGTAAGGAAGAGACAAGGTGTCCTCACCTGTAAGGAAGAGACAAGGTGTCCTCACCTGTAAGGAAGAGACAAGGTGTCCTCACCTGTAAGGAAGAGACAAGGTGTCCTCACCTGTAAGGAAGAGACAAGGAGTCCTCACCTGTAAGGAAGAGACAAGGAGTCCTCACCTGTAAGAAAGATACAAGGTGTCCTCACCTGTAAGGAAAAGACAAGGTGTCCTCACCTGTAAGGAAGAGACAAGGTGTCCTCACCTGTAAGGAAGAGACAAGGTGTCCTCACCTGTAAGGAAGAGACAAGATGTCCTCACCTGTAAGGAAGATACAAGGTGTCCTCACCTGTAAGGAAGAGACAAGAAAATTACTAGAAATCCATATAAAAAATCCCAGCCTTTGCTGGGGCTTCAACCTGGGACCTCCAGCACTCAAGGAGGAGTTTATACTTCAAGACCACACAGCCCCCGAAACTATTGTAGTGAGTGATATCATCAATGAAATATCCCCTGTACATCAAGGTCTTTGTGGAGAGACACAAACATCTGACAAGGCACATGATAATGATGTTTTAAATTCTGCTGGTTTTTTTCTCCCATTCATTTGGCTGCAAGTTTTTCCCTTACTGTTGTCAAAATTACATTCATGGAAGACAGCGATGGCTGGTAAATTCTGTAAAACAAAAGTGGATTTTGTGCTTTCAGCCTGTTTAACCATTTCTCTTTTCCTTTGTTGCCAGTTACTCCATCCCTAAAGAATGTCAGAAAAAGGAGGTTTCGCAAGACACTGAAAAAGAAGGTGAGCAGTTATACAGTTTCAGTGTCAATTGATAGTGATAATAGTTATAGCTGTTAGTTGGTATCTGTACTGTAGATCAGAGGTCCACAAGCTATGTATGTGTGTGGCAGACACGACTGTTATAGTTTTAACCCTACACCCAGACACAGGCTGTTAGACACATAAACCCAAACCGTGGCTGTTAAGACACATAAACCCAGACACATGCTGTTAAGACACACAAACTCAGACACATGCTGTTAAGACACATAAACCCAGACACATGCTGTTAAGACACACAAACTCAGACACATGCTGTTAAGACACATAAACCCAGACACATGCTGTTAAGACACATAAACCCAGACACATGCTGTTAAGACACATAAACCCAGACACATGCTGTTAAGACACATAAACCCAGACACATGCTGTTAAGACACACAAACTCAGACACATGCTGTTAAGACACATAAACCCAGACACATGCTGTTAAGACACATAAACCCAGACACATGCTGTTAAGACACACAAACTCAGACACATGCTGTTAAGACACATAAACCCAGACACATGCTGTTAAGACACACAAACTCAGACACATGTTGTTAAGACACACAAACTCAGACACATGCTGTTAAGACACATAAACCCAGACACATGTTGTTAAGACACACAAACTCAGACACATGCTGTTAAGACACATAAACCCAGACACATGTTGTTAAGACACATAAACCCAGACACATGCTGTTAAGACACATAAACCCAGACACATGCTGTTAAGACACATAAACCCAGACACATGCTGTTAAGACACATAAACCCAGACACATGCTGTTAAGACACACAAACTCAGACACATGCTGTTAAGACACACAAACTCAGACACATGCTGTTAAGACACACAAACTCAGACACAGGCTGTTAAGACACACAAACCCAGACACAGGCTGTTAAGACACACAAACCCAGACACATGCTGTTAGACACATAAACCCAGACACATACTGTTAGACACATAAACTCAGACACAGGCTGTTAAGACACACAAACCCAGACACATGCTGTTAAGACACACAAACTCAGACACATGCTGTTAGACACATAAACTCAGACACATGCTGTTAAGACACACAAACCCAGACACATGCTGTTAGACACACAAACCCAGACACATGCTGTTAAGACACACAAACCCAGACACATGCTGTTAGACACACAAACCCAGACACATACTGTTAGACACATAAACTCAGACACAGGTTGTAAGACACAAGCTAAAACAACGTAAGCAAGCGTAAACACAGAGACAAGCTATCACACTTTGAGATAGACAGTAAAACACTTTGAGATAGACAGTAAAACACTTTGAGATAGACAGTAAAACACTTTGAGATAGACAGTAAAACACTTTGAGATAGACAGTAAAACACTTTGAGAGACAGTAAAACACTTAGAGATAGACAGTAAAACACTTTGAGATAGACAGTAAAACACTTTGAGATAGACAGTAAAACACTTTGAGATAGACAGTAAAACACTTTGAGAGACAGTAAAACACTTAGAGATAGACAGTATTTAAATGTGTTACAATATTTATATTTCCAGTACATGGACCAACCTGAGGTGGAAAAAGAAGTGAGAAGATTATTCAGATATGACTCTGATGCCATTGATGTCAAGTTTGAAATCATTGTTGATGATGAAAAATGTTTGTCAGATTCTGGCATGTCACAGGTAAGCAATCAGTCCTGTCTCTATCTTAGACTGTCATGTGGCAGTGCTTTCATTCTTGTTTAGTTTTCCCTTCTCTACCCTGAAACAGGAAGTACTTTTTGTTTGTATTGTCTTTCCTGGTTCACACATAGAAATACCATGTTGCTTTTTATGTTGACATAATAACCCCCCTCCCCCACACCCTCTTTTAAAACATGTGTCTATTCTGGAACTTTCATACTTTTATTTTAATGAAACCTTGTTATGTCATTTATAATTGCCAAAGATTTCTGTTCCTAGACGTTGGACCCATCAGCTTCAGCATCAAACTCTCAAACCCACTTGGCCAGAATGGATACGGGCACATCTCTGGATGTTGGTAAGTTCACCATAGAATTGTTGGAGCTACGACTGGGTCAGTGTCTTGAGATGTTTCAACAGTACCACATTTTAGCATTTTTCTAATTTCATTTTGTTGCATGAACCCCACTGCTGGAGGTGCACACTCTTGTATGACATGAAGAATTTAGGTATACTGCACACTTGCTTACATCATAACTGTGAGGTCTTCATTCAGGGGTGCTGAATGTGTGTCATCATACATGTGAGGTCTTCATTCAGAGGTGCTGAATGTGTGTCATCATACATGTGAGGTCTTCATTCAGGGGTGCTGAATGTGTGTCATCAAACATGTGAGGTCTTCATTCAGGGGTGCTGAATGTGTGTCATCATCTTGTGCATTGGTTCTCATCCCTCCTAATGCCGTGACTTATTAATACTGTTTCTCATGTTGTGGTGAGCCCTAGCCATAAAATTATTGTTGTTTGCTACTTCACAACTGTAATTTTGTTACTATTGTGATACTGAATATTGGTAGTGGAGCAAGATTTTATTTCCTGGATTACATGATCAAGAATATCAGCAGACGTGTCATCTATTCTTCTGCAGACAGTCGTTGAATAAGGAAACTGCACTCAGCTTCATAACAAATTCATCTGCGATCATAACTTAAACAAAACATAACTTGCTGCCAGAAACAGCAAATCCTCAGCAATTGTGTGGGGTTTCATAGCTCTGGCGATTCTGAGTGCCACCAAAGATTAAAGCCTTGGTCTTAGGCAACCCCTGAAAGGGTCGTTTGACTCCCAAAGGGCTCACGATCCACAGGTTGAGAACCACTGATCTTGAGACTTTCCTGTGACACTCAGTTTCTAAACTTGGAATGCATGAAGCCCTCTCATCCAGCACTGTTTGTCATCCAATATGGTATTTTAAAGATTCTCTGCTGCCCTGAGTTTGCTACATAAGTAAGTAAATTTTACTGTATCAGGACATCACATAGAGCGATAAATACCCGAGGACACAAAGTGCCCCCATGCGGATGAGGATCACTGCATTTAACGGTTAGGCTATATTGTGGACCCTAGCAACAGCCAGGGTGGGGCTTCAAAATAATAAAAAATTGCATCCCACAAAGGGGATGACGAAGATTGTTGCGTTTGCTAAGCGGAATTCCGTTAAATGTGGTAGAGAGACAGCGTTACTGTTTTTTGCTGTGGCTAGCTGTTTGACAGTAGCTAGCTCTTGCCCAGCTACTGAGCTGAGCTCATGGTGCGACACTGTGAATTTCATTTGGAAAACTTTTTGGCTGCCCAACCTGGTTTATGTTGTAAATTGCCTGTTGACAGATCACTTGTGTTGCCTTATGCTATTAGTTTTCTGTGCAGCTACTGATCTGTTGTAACTTCTGTGCAGCTACTGATCTGTTGTAACTTCTGTGCAGCTACTGATCTGTTGTAACTTCTGTGCAGCTACTGATCTGTTGTAACTTCTGTGCAGCTACTGATCTGTTGTAACTTCTGTGCAGCTACTGATCTGTTGTAACTTCTGTGCAGCTACTGATCTGTTGTAACTTCTGTGCAGCTACTGATCTGTTGTAACTTCTGTGCAGCTACTGATCTGTTGTAACTTCTGTGCAGCTACTGATCTGTTTGTAACTTCTGTGCAGCTACTGATCTGTTTAACTTCTGTGCAGCTACTGATCTGTTGTAACTTCCTGTGCAGCTACTGATCTGTTGTAACTTCTGTGCAGCTACTGATCTGTTGTCAAACTTCTGTGCAGCTACTGATCTGTTGTAACTTTCTGTGCAGCTAGCTACTGATCTGTTGTAACTTCTGTGCAGCTACTGATCTGTTGTAACTTCTGTGCAGCTACTGATCTGTTGTAACTTCTGTGCAGCTACTGATCTGTTGTAACTTCTGTGCAGCTACTGATCTGTTGTAACTTCTGCTTTGATTGATGATGAGCTAAGACTGCAATCTATGTCAGCTGTTTCCACAAGGGACAGTGATGGACATTGTGTCTGGTTCTCACTGGACCAGAAACTGACCAGTTATGGGAGTGACCAGTTTGCTATGAAGTTGGTGTTGCGATAACCTGATAGGTAGGATTGCTTCTTAGTAACATCACAGCAATTTCTGTATTCACTGAGCCATTATTTGCCCGTTTCTTTTACCTGTTCTTACTTATTTTATAGCGTCTTTCTTCGGTGAGCTGAGCTCTTCAGAAGAAGAAGATGACGATGAGAAAGATGTCAACATAATGGACAGTGGGGAGGATGATATGTCAAGAGGACCGACAACACCAAGGGGTCGAATGGCAGCCTTGGATAGGGCTGTCTCTGACAGTCAGGAAGTTGGCATGACGGACAACGAGACAGGTAACATTCTTTCATCGTGTCCTTTTTTTTTTATCACCTAACCTGTTTCTTTCTTTCCTCGCCTAGTCCTTGCCCCAATTTTTTTTTCCTGCTGATTTTTGTCCCATTTTCTTATGTTTCTGCTCCGTGGTCAGTAGTTACTGGGACAATTAAAGATAATGTATAGGCCCCTTGTTCTTGTATGTTAAAGACTGTTGACAATGAAATACCTAGAATCACTGGAGCATACATTAGCCGTTGAAATCGCACTCCAGCCAGTCATTGTATATGCTTTATTGATTTATGGCCCTGGTTTTTTGTTTGTAGCTTTTCACTAATAGGCAATTTCAGTGCCAGGCCTTGCAAACTGGCTAAGTTTCTGAATGTTGCTAAAGAAGATTTCTGCGTGATAGTCTCCATAGTCTCGGAGCTTTGGTACTGATAATGCTGCATACTTGCAGCTGCTAGGAGTTGTTGGAAGTGTACGGAGAGATCATGACTTTCCTCTATTCGTTTGTTTGGATAAGCATTACAAAAGACATTTACTGAGTCTCTGTTTTTTTACTCATTGGGGTAAAACATAGACTTGTGGTCTCTGGTTTGCTGATTGCAAAAACATTGATTTTGTGTCTGCCATGCATGCTGGAGAACATTCGGGCAAGGAGAGGTGTGGGTCAGAGTACCAGAGGAAAAGTCTGACCTGTGTACGGTGATGATCACCATTGGGCGGCAGTGTGCAGAGATATGGCCAGCAAGTGTTTACGGAGGTGGAAGTCCAATAGTTGATTCATGACAATTTATGCCCAGTTGATCTGATTAT